AAATACATAAAACAGGAAACAATTGACACTGCGAAATCGATTGACTAAAACAGTTTCAATACAAGTGTAAGATCATTTAAAGTGCTCTGTTTAAACTGATAACAGCTTGTGGAAAGAAGCGGTTAGCTCCCCTTTCTTTGGCTGTGACATTACCTTAATCAATCCTTGGTCTTAAAATAGATTACATGCATGTACGGTACAAAACAAAGGACGACCGTCACTCAGGTCCTTAGCTCTCAGTCCAAAATGTCAAAAAGTGACTCACAGGGCTCTTTCTTATACGATTATTAGTATGATATTTTCAAATGAGACAGCACACTTTCACAAGACTCTTTCTGTTGGTACAAGCAGAAAAAGTAGTATTTATGAAATATGTTGGTACCCAAGCTTTAAGTGTTTAAGGGCATTGCGTGAAAAATCTCACATATGCTGTATGTCCATCTAATCACCAACAACATTTACTTTTCAATACTTACTTTTATCAGAAAAACAAAAAAATACCCTTTTGCATGGAAAATAAAGACAGGGTGAAATCCGAGGCACTCTGATAAAAGTCCTTTAATGCAGAAGGGATCACTTCTGCTTTTATCAGAGTTGATTTCTTTACTGGTAACTATACTTTTACTTAAGTACCTCAGACAAGTACATTTATGACCCCTCTTCAATGGCTGGTGAACCTTCTGTGGGGGAAGCTCGATTCCAGGGTCAAAAGAGGAGGGAAAACTGAGGGACAGACTACAGATAAAGATAAAGACAGACTATAGATATACCAAAAGCCAAACACCTCTCAAACACTTCTTGATGATTCGCTGTCAAACTGTAGACCCGAGTAAAATTTCAGAAATGTAACAAGCCTTTCCACATTCTTGGTGTTATAATATGAAACCAGTTTTAATTTGTAAATAAAAACTCATAGCCGCAAATTCATGATTACATTAAATTCAAATTCATGGGACTTGATATGTGAGTATGTTCCTGTATGAAAGACCGCAGTGATGACTGGGATGTTTTGTTTTTGTAACTGTATTACTCTCAAGAGGCCTTTAAATCCTCAACTCCTCAGGCATAAATAAAGTTATGGATTGATTGAACATGGACTGCAGTGTATTTGGTAGCAAAAATAAATACATGACTGGACTAAGAACCTAGTGCTCGTTCACGCGTGCCTGACATTCCCATAATTAAAGTTCTCAGTTAATATTCTGCATGTGTCGTATTCCTTTCCTCAAATTCTGTCCTTTCTGTCACAGGCTCCGTGGGGCATGTGTAACTGCCATTAGCAGACAGGCCTCTCATGGTAGCTGGGTGTGATGAACACTCAGACCTGAATCAGTGTGATATCCGGACTAGCACCAATTACGCCTCTCACACATGGAGTAGTGTTTGTGCACACTCTGCCATAAGAGTGGCATGAAGACACAGCGGGACACAGTCTCAGAGTGACAGCTGCCACAGCCACTTACATCACCAACACGGCTCTCCCAAACTGTTTTCACGTAAGTGCAAATCTCTACTGGTTATTACTTGTAATGTAATATCAAAGATATATATATATATTTGAAATGTTATACCGTAGGAGTGTATGCTAATTTTTATTTTTATTATTCTTATGATGCCCGACTCTATTCTCTATTCTTTACCACTCTTCTTTGACTGTTGCACTGAGCCAAAGCAATTTCCAAGTCTGTGACTTCCTGTTACTTACGTGCCAATAAAAATGATTCTGATTCTGATTCTGATTCTGATAACCAGGCGGGTCATTTGAGAGCTTATTTACATTGACGTGCTTCCCCAGAACTGGCCCAGAATTAGCAAGAAGGACACACAGAGCCTAGATTCTCCTCATTCATAAAACATGGGGAACACCATGCACGTCATTCATAACATATTTGGAAGTCATTAGAGAAATTATCCAAATAATTTCTATCTATAATTTCAGTGAAATAGCAAATGAAGGATGAGGATCTGATTCATCTTCTGGATTTCACCACAGAAACTGGCGACCCAAATAAGACGCTTGTGATGCTAATCATTCTTTATGATTGGAAAATCTGATTGAGAACCAAATATAAACATAAACAATGTGGCCATCACATCCATTAAGTTAGTATCTGTATAAACATTTTGATCTGGGGCTATGTATTTGTTGAGAAATGTGCTTAAGATGTGATTTAAGATTAAACAAAAATTATATCTGTCTAAAGTTGCTGTTGAAATCATGGAGTTTCAATTTTTTTTATAAACTAGACCAGTGAGCCGCCAGTAGCCGCGAGGGTACTGCAGGGGGGCCGCGGGAGGTCATAAAAAAAAAATATATATATATATATATAATTATTTAATGTTAAATTTATAATGTTTTGTTTGTAATATTAAAATATTTGTGTTCATTATTTGACTTGAATAATCCACTGTAATCATTTTTGTATTACAATGTTTGTAGCAGAGGCTATTTCCCCAAAATAAAATAACCAGAAGAGCCTATTCTTAATGTTGTCTTCTTGGTTATTATTTTGGGGGGCCACGTATACCCGTCAGATTTTTAAGGGGGCCTCGGGGTTACTGAGTTTGGGAATGGCTGAACTAGACAATGCATAAAATTACAATTATATAAGGCATATTCAACTATTTATAGGGTTCTATATCGATATACCTGTTCACATATCTTTGCATGTTATGTGTGCAAAAGTGTGAGTTTTTATCTTCACTGACCCATTATCAAAAATGTTTTGCTTTATTCAGCTCTATGGCATTATATTCATTCATTGTATTGGGCGCACCAAAGTCACAGTCATATGCCTGCGTCTGTCAGTGAATATAAGGGCGAGAGCTCCCTCTACAGGTCTTTTTTCAGACCATGTCCTGAGCCTTTGTAAGCCTTTGTGATTGAGGGTTCGAATATACAGATTGGTAGACAAACCGGTTTTGTCCACTAGTCTGTATTTTTATTATAGCAAGAGTCCTACGATCAAATATTATTGCCACGAATGTAAATAGGCACTATACATTCTCGGCTATATCTCTGTAATGCACTTTGGGAAACAACACAGTCAGTCCATCAAATCAATCAGCTGTCTTTTTAGTTCTGAAAGGAGGAAAATTCCTTTACTCGAACTGTTTCCTGCATTTATGCACACACTCCCACACACAGGCCTTTTTAAATAATTTAAACCACTATAAATGTTAATGGCCACCTCAATTACATTAGTGGCAGGACCTATAAGTCTTCCCAAACTGTCTTCCTCCATAATGAACAATAGCTTCATGTATATTTGATTTTGGAGAATATGTGTCAAGCTGGATTATAACAGATTGCTGCGTTCAAACTGCAGTCTTGGCAGATATCGGTACAGGATATGTTACTGTTGTTTGTCTTTATATTTTTGATTTATCATTTCCTTAATCCAATGTGTACATTCTGTCACATTTCAACTTGTCATAGGCATCTCTCTCACCTGAAGCAGCTGTGTAACCTTCTTCTCTGACACTGTGCTTTTTCATGTATAATTCATAGTGAATAAACAGCTGTGGAGTCCCCCACACATGTCCCTTTGCTTTGCTCCATCTCCCCTGAGGCACACACTATTGCAGAGCTTACACTTTTGTATTAATGAAATGTATTATAAAACATTGGCACAAATCTTTAAAAAACGATTTAATGTTTCAGAATATTGTCACGGTATATGTAGTTATCACATATACAGGTTGTTTTGGTTCCAGATTAGCCTGAGTTAATGACATTTTATTACAAATGGCATTTACACATATTCACATATATTTAGTTGTTGATTTGAATTACATCTATACTGATACTGTACTATACTTACAAATGTGACATTGTGAGATCAATACAGTGTATCTTATCTTATAAAACAGGGATAGTGTGTGAGGTTATGCAAAACACTGTGAGAGATGTCGAGGCTGTGTCGGATGTATGTTTTTTACCTCTATATATTGCAGTGCAAGGCCAGGTGCAAACTATTGAGCAGTCTTTTAAAGTGAAATGCAACGTGTTTCCAGACGCAGTCAGCAGGGGGCAGTGCACCCTGAAGTAAGAGCCTCCAGTCCTGTGAGAGGAGCCACCGCGTCAGCCGCAGACCTGAGCCTGGGACAGGCCGGGATCCGGGAGGAATCTAACACTTTACCACTTTTGTTTTGCATTAAATGTCCCTCGTTACGCATTAAGCTGGTGCCGAAATAAGAAGGCTATAAATGGTGAGAGTCATGGTTGGTCATGAACATATTCATTACAAATGATGTATACATGATCATTCATCATTTAGATCTGGCGGATGCATAGAGAAATGTGGGTTAACAAATGCATGACGTTATAGTTATTGTTGATCCATTTTTTCCAGTGTGTAGTCCACTTTGGACTAGTTTATTGTATTATTATTGTTATTGTTATTATTTCAAATTTCTAGTATGATTATTATTATTTTCTAAGCATTACTAAAGAATGTCTGGAGATGCACTTAAAACACTTTGAACTGTAAAACTGTATATATATATATATATATATATATATATATATATATATATATATATAGGGAAGTTATTTTTTTCTTTCTTGGATATATCTTTTGTTTGTCATTTTTTTTATTTAAAGGAATTATGACATTATTATAAACGAATTGTATTTAAATTAACTTAAAGCAGGGGTATCTAACAGAAAGAGTCTTGTAAAATATTATAAACAAATCAGATCACAACATGCCGACTTGTTAGAAAACATGACATTAAAGTCACTATTTGACATTTTGGGTTGTGTGAGGGCTGAAAAATCTGATCTAAAGATGTGACAGAGCCCTGCAAACATGTGCATGTGAAAACTGTTGACCTGGAAACAGCCTTTTTTTAGAGTGAGGAATATGGATTTTATAGGTTATTATTTCATTCATGCTTTCATTTGTTTTGGTTTAAAATGGGAGACCCCAGCTTTAAGTAATAATGGCAAAGATAAGCTCAAGTACAGGCTCTCGTCACTATGTTTTAGGTGAAACATGAATGGCAAAGCTTCTTCATGTGAGATTCTCCGGCGTCTAAAGGCCAGGCTCATACCTGTCCTCAGTGGACACGCAGACTTTGTTCTACAGCATGCAGATTCTCGCTCGCTGGTCACACCTCAAGGCTATCGGCAAATAAAAAGCTGCCGTATCCCAGATGAAAAGATACGGGACCTTTTGGATCATATCATAGAGAGTGGGCCCAAGGCTTCACAGGGTCTGCTGGATCTGCTGCGCTGTCAAGAACTGCAAGAAACATTCCCCACGTTGGATTTGATCAAGGACACAAAAGTCGACGTCGCTTGCTTCGGTAAGGCGACACCACTCGTTTTTTATAACAGTGTATGCATAAATTGCTTTTTTTGGTTAAACAGATTGTAAAATATCAAAAAGGAAAAGAAAGAACAAGAAGATACCTGAAATACAAGAAGATGACGTTCCATCCAAAAGAAACTATAAAAGTAAGCACTTTGCTTATCACCTTCTGATGTTTTTATGTTTTATTAACATATTAACAAATACATAAAAGACTTAATTATTGAACAATAAAATGTGATGGATGGTTACCAAAATCAAGTAGCTTAACATCTGTTAACCTCTTTCTTAATGCATAGGGAACTTTGGACATAGTATTGGACACAAACACACACACACATGCATACACACATACACATGCATACACACATACACATGCATACACACATACACATGCATACACATGCATACACACGCATACACATGCATACACACACACACATGCATACACACACACACATGCATACACAAATACACATGCATACACACGCATACACATGCATACACACGCATACACATGCATATATACAGTCTATGATGCATACACATACATGTATAAACATCATTCTTCATGCGTCCTGTGTTCCCCATGCAGTGTTGGTGACAGAGAAGCAGCTGATGCGTGTTGCCCGGGCCTTAGGGCAGTCCTGGAGGCAGGTGTCCATCATGGCGTTGGAGATCTCGTCTGTGAAGCTGGAGCAGATTGTAGCCGACCACCCAAACTGTCAGGTGACCCAAGTGTTCACTGCTCTGTGCTACTGGAGGAACGTCCAGAGGGACAAAGCCACCGCCCAAGGCCTCCACGCACTGCTCAGTCAACAAGAACTCGCCTTGCCACAAGAAGCCTTCAGCTTTCTGTTAGACGACCAGCCATAATCATTTACCCTTCTGGTGGAACTTTATAAATGTGTTCCTTACTGCTACTTTAATAGAATGTTTTTATATTTTTACAGGTTACATTGTAGCAAAAAACAAGTCTTTACTTTTAATGTTTTGCATTGTGTACTTTAATTGATAAAATGTATGTAAAATATGTCCAATAAATTGGATTTTGGTGTGTTATGAGTTGTTTCCTTCATTCATCAAGTGGCAAGTGGCGTGTTGGCTTAAATGTTAATTATTTATTCATTGCCCCTCCTCTACAGGCAGGTACAGTAACAAGGGTACAAAGGTTAACTTAACTCTGCTGAAGACACGGTTACGGACTTGACAAAAGAACAAAAGCCATAAAGATGACAAGTACTCTTTCAAATAAACGTAAGTGTATTAAATTAAGGAAAGAAACATTTTTGAAATCGTAACTTTGCAGCTCATGGACGTTCTTGCTCTGCAGTGGATCCAAATGATCCTATTATTGACCATGAAGAAGGCCAACTCTTCTTGAATGAAACATTCAAACTTTTAGTGGAAGAGGTTCTCCGCAAGGGCACAGACGCCAACGAGAAGGTAGTGAAGTAATATTGCAGTTTCTAATCTAGATTCTAGAGGGCAGTTCATTGTTTTTCATTCACAGGTCTGTAGGTATGAGGAGCCGCAGGTGCTGGCCAAGATTATGGACCTGGAGTTGAAAGAGGCAGGAGAGCCCCATGAGCAGCTGCTTCAGAGAGTCAGAGATGTTGCCACTTACAGTGTAAAGACATGTATGTTTTTCAAATCATGTTTTCTCTTCTTTTTATCATATTCAGAAATTGACTTCCTAAAATATTTTCCAGGTCACCCACGTTTCTTTAACCAACTGTTTTCTGGTGTTGATTACCACTCTTTGGCAGGAAGCTTCATGTCGGAGACCCTCAACACTAATCTGTAAGCAGAAGTGGTTTATTGGTATGTACACTATTATTTTGTGGGTAATGACATGTTCTGTGCAGTTTTACGTATGAGGTGGCTCCTGTGTTTGTGCTGATGGAGATTGAGGTGCTTCGAGCATTGCGTCTCCTTGTGGGATGGACACAAGGAGATGGGCTCTTCTGTCCGGGAGGCTCCGCCTCAAATATGTACGCTATGAACTTGGCACGATACCGACTTTTCCCTGATGTCAAAACCAGAGGGCTGTGGAGCTTGCCACAACTGGTTATGTTTACCTCTCCTGAAGTAAGAATGCTTTATATGTCTTTTATAATATGTATCGTTTTGTATTATTTACTGCTGTTGTATTGATACAAATTAAAGTCTTGTGTAAACATTTGTTTTCTCAGAGCCATTACTCTGTGAAGAAAGGAGCCGCTTTTCTGGGAATTGGCACAGATAATGTCACTCTTGTTGATGTAGATGATAGGTAGGCCTAAGTAATACATTTAAAACATATACAGTATATAGTGCAGGGGTCTTCAAACCAGTCCAGAATGGGCCGGAGTGGCTTCAGACGATCAGATCTTCAGGGGAAGACCCATCCATCCATCCATTTTCCTCTAATCCATTTCTGGGTCGGGGAGGGGAGGGAGGGCAGTCAGAGCTGCACCCAATTCAGAGCACCAGCCGAGGTTAAGACCATAGACTGTAAATATTAAGACTGGACTCACTTGAGGAAATGGGTGGAGTCTGCTCTGCACCTGCATGGTCTGAGACCCCTGATATAGAGATTAATAGAGATGTGTGTCATTACACAATGTTACGTTATTGTTGCTAGTTGTTGTGTACTTACTCTTGCCAATGACTTGCAGAGGCCATATGATTCCTGAGGACTTGGAAGAAAAGATAAAATGTGCAAAAGCCCAAGTAAGTATTCTTAAAGTATATTGCATTGAGTTTTCCAGTCATCTCTTCTGTTAGGACTGCTGTATTGAATGCAAAGTGTGCTTTATTTGGATTTTCACAAGGGGACAGTGCCATTTCTTGTAAGCTGCACTTCTGGAACTACCATCCAAGGAGCATTTGACCCCCTTGACCGCATCGCTGATGTTTGCGAAAAGTATGAGTTGTGGATGCATGTTGATGTAAGTGACTGAATCATGTAAGTAAGTAAATTTTGTAAGTAAAGTTTATTTATCAACAGGTCACTTTATCTGTTGATATTTGACTGTATTATTCATATCCATCTGATAATTCTCCCATTTAAGTCACTTTACCTGTTGATATTATTTCTGATGTTTATTCTGCACATATTCTCATATTCTCCGCTGCTAATGTATAATATAGACATCTGTAAATACTCCGAACCAAGTGCAATTATAGCCCAGAGTTTATCTCATTTTATTTTATTTTATCTTAAATTATTGTCTATTATCTTAAATAATAGACTTTGATGTGTGCAATCTGAGTACTCTTATTTCCTTTCTCTGCTGTAATGTGCAACGATGACACTGAAATTTCTCCACTGTGAGACTAATAAAGGTTTATCTTATCTTATCTTATCTTATATTGCGCCTTTCCAGAATTACAAAGCACTTCACAATGTAAAACGTACAGAGAAAAATAGTACACATACAAGTCGGTTCACAAAACAAATCTACAGAATAGACGTGAACACATTTCAGATGGACCAATGTAAAGTAAAATGAGTTATTCTGCCTAAAACAAATAGATCTTAAGTATCCTGCCATGCCCAGCAAACGTTCACATAACAGCATGTTGTTTCAGGCTGCGTGGGGCGGAAGCGTGCTCTTCTCAAAGCAACACAGACACCTGATGAAAGGAGTTCAGAGGTAAATCATTGTCCCAAGTCTGCACTTTCAAAATGTATCTTTTTTAATCGTAAAAACCCTTAAAAGGTGAGGTAGCTATAACTTTCAAACTACAAAAAAGGAAAGAATATTATGAAACTATGCTAACTAATTTCTTGCTCTCAAAACAGTTTGGTTCTATCACTTTTATCAGGTGTATATAATTTTGGCCTCTCAGATTCAGATTCAGATTCATTTATTGGCCATGTGCAGTATAAAAACTACATTGGAATACATTTGCAAAAAAAGGTACTCTGTGTGCACCGACAGAATAAAAAGCACGATACAATGTAATATAAAATACACATACACTGAATATAAAATAATAAAAAAACAGCTGACACTGTGGCACCGATCAACAAAAACGATACAAGGGGTAAACGCAGGAATTAAAGTGCTCTGTTTAGGCACCTAACAGCCTGTGGAAAGAAGCTGTTAGCATAGCGAGATGTCTTGCATCTCAGCGACCGATATCTTCTGCCAGAGGAAAGAAGCTGGAACATGGCTTTCCCAGGGTGGCCAGAAGAGTCATTGATGATTTTAAGAGCTTTGTTTAAAAGTCTGGATTTGTAAAGAAGCTCCAGAACAGGAAGCTCACAGCCCATGGTCCTCTTTGCAGAGCGGAGCACCTTGTTTAAAGCTCTCTTTTCTTTATCTGTGATGTTTCCAAACCACACAGACACAGAACCAACAAGTAAACTCTCAATGGTGCAGCGATAAAAGTTAAGCAGAATCTTAGAGTTATTGGAAAATTCTCTAAGTTTCCGCAAAAAGAAGAGCCGCTGACGTACTTTCTTAACAACCCGGTCAGTGTTTTTAACCCATTTCAGGTCGTTAGACAGAGTTAAACCCAGGAACTTGCACTCCTCTACGATCTGCACCTGGGAGTTGTCAATAACTACAGGAGTGTGAGAACTCCTACGACTGAAGTCAAAGACAAGTTCACATGTTTTTGCGGTGTTCAGCTGGAGATTGTTTACTTTACTCCACTGAAAAACATGTTCGATCTCTGCTCTGTAAGAGGAATCATCAGTGTCACTGATGAGACCGATGATGGTGGTGTCATCAGCATATTTGATGATCAAGTTAGAGTCAAAGGAGGACACACAATCACGGTGCACAACGGAGCTCTTGCAGCGGCGCCCTGGCACGGCGCCATCTTCAAGTTGTCAAAGGTCAGACTTTGACAACAGACTTTGGTCTCTTACATCAGTGGCTTTTTCCAGCTATAAAAATAAATGTTATAAAAGAGAGGACAACCTACACTCAGCCAATTAACTCTCTGCCAAAAGTGTCAAATAGTGCCTCACAAAAAAAAAGCTGTATTTGGAAATGAGTGTGTTTTAATGATTTTTGTTTTGCTGATGTACCACTTTTGTTTACTTTTTGATTTGTAGTTTACTTTGGCAGACATGTTATGAATAATGCTTTAAGGTGTGAAATTGACCATGTTATTGGAGAATACATATATTAGAAAGATTATTTTTTTCTTAATGAAATGTCCTACCACTCATTATGTTTTGACTATGTGATTTGTTTTGGTGCTTGTTCTATCAAGGGCAAATTCCGTGGCTTGGAATCCCCACAAAATGCTTACGGCTGGTCTTCAGTGCTCCGTCCTGCTGCTGAAAGATACTACGGTGCGTTCTCAAAATGAAAGATGAAATCCTTGCCAGCTACAAGGTTTCGACATCTGTCTTGGTTTTCGGCTTTTCTCGCAGAATCTGTTGAAGAAGTGCCACAGTGCCCATGCCTCCTACCTCTTCCAGCAAGATAAGTTCTATGATGTGGATCTCGACATAGGGGATAAATCCTTGCAGTGCAGTCGCAGAGTAGATTGCCTGAAGCTGTGGTTGATGTGGAAAGCGGTGGGTTCCAGCGGATTGGCTGAGCGAGTCAACAAAGCTTTTTCCAATGTTAGGTAATGCATTTTGATAACTACCCCAAACTAATCCACAAGAAAGCAAGGAAGTCATTATAGACAAATCTCACTTCTAGATATTTGACAGACAAGATGAAGAAAACCGATGGATTCAAGTTGTTGAATGAGGTAAACATGAAAAGAAACGGGGAACTTACTAATGGGATGTTGTGTTTGATGATTGTTGTATTCATTTTGTATTCAGCCAGAATTTGTGAATCTTTGCTTTTGGTATATACCACCCAGTCTGAGGGGAAAGGAATTAAATGAAGACTATGAAGATCAACTTGCAAAGGTTTATTAAACGTCCTCAAATGAACTGATATTATGTATTAATGTATTAGATAAATATAACATGATAACATTTATTCATTGTTTTGATTTTAGGTGGCACCAGTCATTAAAGAGCGCATGGTGAAACAGGGTTCAATGATGGTTGGGTATCAACCTCTGAGAGACAAAGTCAACTTTTTCCGTGTGACTGTGTTCTCTCCGTTGGTTTCCACAAAAGATTTGGATTTTTTTCTGGATGAAATTGAAAGACTTGGAAAAGATCTGTAGACAGTTTTGATTCATTAATTTAGGCTAGGCAGAATAATTCTTATGGAAAGAAATGTCTTTCTGTCGACATTTAATTTTAGATGTTCAATGTCTTAAAACCGTCCAAATATTAGGACTACAGATGAAAATTCGCTATTACAGTCCAGTATGAGCAGATAATGCTTTATGCATAATTGTACTTTGTTCTGAAAAATAAATGAAAGGAATTAGTTTTTTCTCAGAGTTTCACGTGTCTGCTTTTTTTCTTAACTCTCTCCATAAAGTTGTTTATTTAATATTAACATTTACAGTCTATGGTTTATTTACGAAAAGAACCTTCAATTGGTCACGTGGTAACGCTGCCCCTGACAGCTTCCGGTAGTGTTTCCGGTGTGTGTTTGTAAACTGTACAGAAAACTGAAGTGCGACTACGAGACAAAACAAACCAGCACTAGTCTGCTTCTAAAGGTATGTTCTGCTCATGTGTCTGACGGCAGCGGCTGTGCACGCTTTATAACGACGTAAACATGACGCATGTGGGAAACAAAGCTCCTGAGCTCCGCGCGCACGCCCTGGCTGCTTATGTGGGGGTGGGGGTCATGGTGGGGGTCCTCACTGTCTTCTGACCCGTTTGTTTGACGCAAATGTAAAGATACAATGCGGTGTACACGCCTTTATTCTTCGCCTCATGAACTCCATGTCAGCCATTACGACCACAGGAGAGTTTGCGTCTTCAAATGCGGCTGATGTTGAGGGACCGGGGGACTGGGACCAGGTGCGTGCACAGTGGGCCAGAAGAGGCGCTTGTCAGATGTGTTCGTGTCTAGTATATGATGCCTTATATGCGTTGGTGGTGGTCTGAGTGGGGGCAATGGCAATAGTGCAGATTGCCTGATCAGATCGCTTTTTATCGCTCTCAAAATTATTTTATCTGACCCAAACTGTCCTGACTGAAGTTAAACTGAAGATGAACTCTTGAGGCATAAATAACTGAAATAGGAATATGTTAATGGTCACTATTGATTATGCATGCACACTTTTTCATCTGGCTTGATTAGAAATTACCCTAAAGCTTATAACCCCTGCTTTATTGCTCCATGTAGATTTTTGTTGTTGCCGTTTTCACATAGTCACATAGAGATTAAAATTATTGTTCAACTAATGCATCTTTTCGACGAGGAGACCGTAAGGCAAGGCAAGGCAAGTTTATTTATATAGCACAATTCATACACAAGGCAATTCAAAGTGCTGAACAAAACAAGAAAGCATTAAAATCATAAATAGTCACATTAAAAGAAAGCTAAAAATATAAAATCCCTCAGTTGTATGCACAGCTAAACAGAACTGTTTTTAACCTGGTTTTAAACATTGTCAGAGAGGAGGCCTGTCTCACATCTTCAGGAAGACTGTTCCAGATTTTAGCAGCATGAATCTGAAAAGCAGCCTCCCCATGTTTAGTTCTGACTCTGGGCACTAACAGGAGTCCAGTCCCTGTGCTCCTCAGAGTCCGGGCTGGTTCATATGGGACTAACATGTCACTAATATATTTTGGTGCTAGGCCATGGAGAGATTTGTACACAAGCAGAGATGTTTTAAAGTCTATTCTCTGAACCGTCTACAGAATAATAAAATAAGTAACTAAATACTTAGTTATGTGACAGCTCTACACATACAGAGTGAATTATGTTATATATTTGTCTGGTGCACACTGGGGTACTTTTTCACATGCATTCCTTTTTTTTTTTCACTGCAAATGGTAAATAAATAAAATTAATCTGAATAATGCTCTATAAAACACTGTTGCTCAGTAACACCAAATTACACATCTTGATTTTGTCTCAGAACATTATAATCAGGTCAGTGTAACAGCAAAGTCTGTCTGGAGGAAGTTTGAGACTCTTCAGCTGTAATGATTAAGTTGCCAGGTGCTATACTGCTGTTGTGTCTTTAGGCAGGACACTTGCCCCCACATTACCTTTTATGAGTCTGGTGTGTGCATGAACGATTGGTGGTGGTCGGAGCATGAATAATGCCATGTGAAGCATCTTTGTGTGTCATGAAAAGTGCTATATATTTATAAAATGTACAAATAATGCAAAAAATGATTAAATACATTCACATTTGTTTTAGTAGATACAATATTGTTTCAATCATGTATAGTGTTAATTTCAAAATATTATCTTGTTGCAATTCTACTTCCTGTCGAGGATGATTATGAAGTTTGTGGCCTCTACCAATTAACCAAGCACACATTCCAAAATGATCCAACATTTGTGAAGTGGGTCTTCTATCCTGCAAAGAACTAAACCACTCATGGAAATTAGTATACAAACAGGAGACATTTCTGGAAGCATGAGACAGAAAATGTACTTGCTGAAATGTTTTTTCTGTGCTTGACTATTACCAGACTGGTTTGCTGGACTGTGAAGCAGTGTTGTGTCGTCCAGCATGGCACTAATGCAGGCCAACAGTATGCCAGGGCAGAAGATGCAGTCATCCCTGGGTCAAGGGCGGAGAGACAGTCCCGAGTCTGATTTGCAGTTCTGTCAAAACCACAGACACCAAATGCTGCACGGACAGCCCCTGCACAACCATGTCAGCCATCTGCCAGCAGGGGTCAGCTCTTCTCTGGTGAGTTTTAGCTAGTTTAACATTCAAGGGTAGCTTTTACAGTCCTTATCCGGTAAAAAGATGCAAATATATTAATCTCATACCTCTGTGTTCTTTCTCTCCAAGCTGGTCGGTAAAGATGGGCGGTATTGTTCCTCTATTTTGAATGAAGACATGTTGGCTAATCAGAATTTGCAACCTAAAAAGAAGCACCGAAAGTCTCCTTCACCCACCAAAATAAAAGAAGAGCGGGTGGTAAGAAATAAAACTGCTAAAATAATGACAAAGATTGATGTAACTTGATTGATCTCAAAACCTCTGTCAAATGTCTCGCAGCGATATATGACACCACTTGAAGACGACGACTTGTCTCTGAAAGTTCAGAAGAATTTCATCTGCGATCATTGTTACGGAGCCTTCAGGAGCAGCTATCACCTCAAAAGACACATATTGACACATACAGGTGAATGAGCTTGTTTCCAATTTCAGAATATATTTTGTCTTGATTGAAAACTTTTTTTGAATCTTGAAATATTTAAACAGGAGAAAAGCCATTTGCCTGTGATTCATGTGATATGCGATTTATTCAACGGTATCACCTTGACCGACACAAACGCGTACACAGTGGAGAAAAACCGTATCAGTGTGATCGCTGCCGCCAGGTTTGTCTTGAGAAATATTGGATGTCTATAACCCAGTTTTTGATAATACTATTTTGTATGATGTTTTTCTTTTCAAAACCATGTCCTTACCCATCTTTTCAGAACTTCTCACGGACAGACCGGCTGCTGAGGCACAGACGCTTGTGTACAGCTGGAATTGTAAAGGAAGAAAACCAGCCTTATTCCCAGGCGTCCTCTTCACACAGTGCTGCCTGGGGCCCTTTGCAGTCCGCCAACAGTCGCTTAACTGTGTGACCTACTGCTTTCACTTACACACTGACCCAGTACAACAATATACGAAACACAGAAGCAGCCAATCAAGTGAAGGCTACTGAGTCTCCAAAACCCAGGAGAGAATCCATCAACTTTCACGAGGACAATGGACATTGAAAGATGCAACGTTTCTTCCTAATTGTTTAGGTGCTACTGACAAAACAAGGCTTTAGTGTGTGCTCATGAGGAGCGCATATATATCTGTATATCATTTTGGTTTTTTTTAGTGATTTTATTTCTTGGGTTTATCAATTGAAAGTTAACACTACTTGCTAATTCAAACAAAAATATAATTAAGCGATGAACTGTTGCCAAGCGGGAGAGCGTGACTTTTGCTGTCAGTAAAAGCCTCAAAGACAGAGATCTTCTGGACATTCATCTCACCCAATCAAAGTGCCACACACTGGATTGCAGAGAATATTAGGTTGGATATAGAATGGTCTGCATTCGGTGTGACGGATGTATGATGCCAATCTGAGAAGTCAAATTATGTGGAAATCGGTAAGCTTTGTCCAATATAAAGGCCCAGTTCATATAAGGTAATATATTTTAAACAAGTCACTGTATGCATTGAGCTTAAACACAATTTGGTTTTGTATGTAAATGTATCCATATTGTTAGTTACTTTTTTATTATCAAGTAAACATTTTGGACTAATTTTAGCTTTTAAAATAAACAAATCACAAATTAAAATAAACTTTTGATATATTTTTTTCTGTGAAAGTTGTATGTGGCACTGATTTTAAAATGCAATTTGGCAAATGTGTCAGCAGATGGCATCAATGTTCAAGAGGTTGATAAAGGTATGCTGTATCTGTTCCTGAAAGCACACAAGACTCAAGTTAAAATTCATTTAACTTCACATTTGCTTTTTTCCCCTCACTGTTGACAATTATTTGAGAAAACAAAGATGACCAGCGTCCTTCAAACACTGCCAGTATGATTTAATTAGTGTTCTGGACATAAGTAAGTAACTGAAAGTATAGTGAAACTCTTTTGTAAAAGTATTTTAAATTTAACATAGTATGGAACTAGTTGTTTGTTCTCTCCTGATGCAAGGTTTAGGACCAGCTTAGAAATTGCAACAAAATTCCTAATTTGCAATTTTTTCTGAAAAACATCCTTCCTTTTAAATAAATAAAAAAATGATGTGAAACAATATCACTCTAAGCAAGAAATTCTTATGTCAAGCATGAACACAGTAATGATCTGATAGCGAAAGCTTTAGGAGCTGGATGAATGTGAAACCTCCTGGGGGACATTGACTAGGTCTTCAATGTTTCGTACTTCAGAATAAAGAAACACTGTGTTCTTGCTCTTATACTTGCTCCAAGTGGCAAGAACAAAATTATGTCATTTTGTTTGCGAGGTGCAGTTAACCCTAAGTTCTAGCTTCTTATGAAGTATAAATTGGCCCTTACACTGCCTCTGCATTTGACTTTATTTCCATTAGATGTATAGCCATAGGATGTGAAACTTCAAAATTAAGCAGTATTCCACGTATTTCAAGTAAAATGAAACATTTTGAGATTAATAGGGTTGGAACTTCAAACTCACAAACATAAACGATATGACAAATGATATGGCTCCTGGCTGAACAATAATAATTAATGCATTGGTTTTGGGTAGCATTGTTTTTTTTATATTATGAAATTTACAGACTTTTCAAACACCAGCTTTACTCTTTATATTTACCAAAGACATTCAAGGCAGACACAAAACACTGTTCAGAGACTGTTGCACTCCAAAGGAATGCTATTTGCCAATATGCTTGAATTTTCAACTGACTGATCAGGTGTGTGTGTGTTGTAATTTCTTACACGTTTCTTCAGTATCATATTTCCGCCACCAGAGGGAGACGTGCAGAAGAGTCTATTCTATTAAGTGGATAGTATGGCTGCATCCAAATTCATAACCAGGAGTTACTCCGCCTAATAATAGGTCAATGACGAGGTAGTAATTAGGACACCGCCAGTAAGTTTTGGGGTCGTGTGTGTGTGTGTGTATGTGTGTGTGTGTGCGTGTGTGTGTGTACGTTTGTGTATGTGTGTGAAGTGCTTTTTTAATCAAAACAACTGATTGGAAGTGGGCCTAGATCAGTTTACTGCAAGAGCAAACGGACAGATATAGGTAATGAAGTGAGATTGTTTATAGATACAGGAGTAGACATGTCCTATAGGTATTCAACATAAGTTGAGTGTAATGCGGTGAAGAACATACCCTTTAGAACCCTTCACTTTACGATTAACCATTCTTTAATTAAAGCATTAGGTTAGACAGTATGAGATCAGCCTGCAGGCTTCTGGAAGTGTGCTCTTTCTCCCATGGGAGACATCCCCTTCCTGTGCAGTCTGATTTACTGCACCCACAGGCCCCCGGCACTTAACAATGGACCTGCTTAAGTGAGGTAGATGGGAGGAGATCAGAGAAGAGAGATAACACTCCATCTTCATACACAAAGTGCTGAAATCATGGAGGTTCGAAATCATCTCTCAGAGACAGTCATGGAGTGGTGCAGAGGTAAAGTGTAGGAGGCAGCCTGCTTCACTTGAACTGAGAGGACTGATAACAGCTCTCTCCTCCCCTCTGCTGTCACAGAAAAAAAGAATGGCCAACTCCAACAAAAAATTTCCCCAGCCATGTGTAAATCTGCCCTGACTGCTCAGATTGCTGCTTGGTCAACATTTGGGCAGTTCAGAGGTTTACAATAACACATTCCCTGTACTAGCAACATTCTGTTAACTGCAAATGTTTGAATGCCCCCTGATCAAATATATCAAGAGCTTGTGGCGCATGATTGAAACCTTCGAGACAAAAGCCACTGCTATCTCCTCTCCCCGAGGTGTGCAAGGCCCTTTTCATCTCAGCTCTGATTAATAAAGGAATCTGGTTTGGTGAAAGTGATGTTCCTAGTGATACATCCATCACCCCAGTGACAGCCCACCTCTCTGTGTTAATTAGCAGTGATATTTAACCCGTCCAAGATGTTCTCCGGTTATCAGAGCGTTGCTGCGGCTGTTGCTGATCATTAACATTTACATTTTTGTGTCTATGCTGCAAGCTTGGATTCATGCAAAGTACCATCAAACAACCATCTGACATTAAGAGGTAATCCAACCGCATATGGTTACTTACAAAAGCATAGCCTCAGTAGTACTCAATCAGTGTTGTGCGTGAACGAGTTCAAAAGAACGCGTTCATCGAACACGCTCATTTTTTCGTGAACGTTGAACTGAACGCAACACATTTTTAAAAAAAGAACTTGAACGTGAATTAGTTCATTTTATGTGTCATGAACGGCAGATATCACTATGAACGTTAGAATGTGTTTTCTCTTTTGAAACGCAACGAGAGAAAGTTCCTCCCTCCTGTATTCTCGCACTTTTTCCGCCGAAATCTAAAAATTCCTACGGTTTCCACCGTCTGTGAACGCACCCCGACTCTGTGTTGCGGTGCGGCGCTGTGAGCTGGTGCTTTTCACATGTGCCCGAGTCGTGATGAAAACACAGGGTGAGTTAGCGACAAAGTTTACACCGTTTACATTTGACATAAAGTATAGACACACGCACTGCAGCGCGTGTGTATATATATATAGCTCGTAGTGTGAAAAAAATATTTATTTAACCTTTCTGTCGTGTTCGGGTCAAATCTGACCGATTTCCTACTTTCAACAATCATACATTTTTTGTTTTATATTTTATTGTTTCAAGGCCTTATGATATCCTCCACACTAGGAATTTGAACGTGTACAATTCGGGCGTTCTGCTCTCCCAAAATTCCATCCACTGAGCGGCGCTGTGATCAAAAAATGACACCGTTTGTTGCCCAGTTCACTTCCGGTTGATTTCATACAATGGCGAATATGGCTCACAAAAACAACAAACGATTGACAGTGCCTGAATTGCGTGAAAGGTTGAAGCGAAAGGGTATTTGCAGTGTGGGAAAACGAAAGGAGGAATTGTTGTTGCTAGTTCAACGAGCGGATGGTGTTTATGAAGATTTAGAAGAAGATGACAGCGAGCAGAGTGAACGAAAACGGCTGTGTGTGCGAGTGACAGATGGTAACAATGAGAATGAAGTTCAGCTAAGAGGGAAGAATGTGAATTGGACGGATGATTTGCGCGATATGCCACTAGTTAGAGACGGGAATGTATTTGCATACAGAAAATGACGAAAACACTCAACCATTTAGAGAAAATGCGCCGGGCAGAGAGAACCCGGAAGTTGCGAAGGCAAGTGTTACCCATAATGCAACGCAAAATTCAGTCGCTCCCCCGCCCATCGGATGGAATTTTGGGAGAGCAGAACGCCCGAATTGATGATCACCACTTTCGTTGAATTTTGAGTGGGCAAATCAACTTTGTAACACCTGTGGTGTTCCCGGTCAAAAATGACCGCCATAGGAAATGAATGGGTGACTCTAGATCCTTTCATTCACCATAGTTTTCAACACACACACACACACACACACACACACACACACACACGCACACGCACACGCACACGCACACACACACACACACACTCCTTTCAGACTGAACAGGTGTCTCCTCTCCTCATCTCTTTCCCGCCCGTATGTGACTCTCCCCCCACGTGAACCCCTTTCAGACTGAACAGGTGTTCAGTCCCCCCACGTGAACCACACCTTTCGATACAAAATGTATCATAATAGAAAGATATCTTCTCACTGACCCCCTATATATAGCTTTATTTGTGCATTGCTCTCATTTGACTCTGAGCACAATGACGAGGCGCCGGTTTTCTGCCAGAGAGGCTCTTGACCTTTTTTTTGAAACCGATGAAGAGGGGATTCAAATCGAACAAGAAATAGAGGAGGATGTCTCAGAAATAGAAGACAATCCTGATTTTGATCCGGACTATAATGAAAATGACAAGTCAACAGATGGTGAGGAAGAGGCCCCTGAGGAAGACACACGTGGGGAAGAGGCACCTGAGGAAGAGGCCACTGGGGAAGACACACC